TATATATATATATATATATAATCTCAGTAAAGTATTATGATGATATTCACCTCGTAATTATTACGATTAAAAGAGACAATTATTACTTGAATCAATTGATGTTCGTAAAAAAAATAATAGTTGCATAATTAATGTTGTTGGAATTTGTGTAAATAAATGGAATTTAAAATTATAATTAATTAGTCATTATATATTAATGATTAAATTTTAATTAAAAAATATATTTGATTAAAATACTAGTTATAGAAGAAACAATAAATAACATGCAATTGTTATTCATAACAAATAATGTAGAAAACAAAAAACTTCATTACACCAAATGTCATCTCCTTTGTTTAGTTGTATATACTAAGAGATATGTCTACCTATGTTGCTCCTTGTTGTTTAGAATTAATGCTTCAATTCATTGGCGAGCAATTTAGGAGTTTCATGTAAAATTATTTTATAAGTTAACCGAGAATTTATAAGATAACTTATTAAATTAAAAATATTTAGTAAAATTAATTGATAAATATAAAATGATAAAAATAACTTTTATAATAAGAGTGAGTTAATGACAGTATATGTTTATAAATTTAAAAGGATATAAAAAGATTTCAAATAAAATAACTAGGATAAAAAAGGAAAAAGAAAAAAAAAAGTTAAGAATTTATAAGATATAACTATTTCAATTAACTAACAAAAATAAATTATAAATTTCTAAAGAAAAATTGTATACAAACTCTCGTACTAAATAATTTTTTTTTTTGTGAATAAACTAATATTTTCACTCTCTTTATATTTTTCTTATATTTATGTTCTTCCAAATGAAACATAAGATCTTTCTTGATATAAGAAACAAAACACAGATAATTTTGTCAAATTAAACAGACCCCTAGAATGATCAATATATTTTGCTCTGGTCCTTATGGTCTTATTTGACCTATATAACATAATTATTTTAGTTGGTGTTTGACTAACTTGGGCTCAAATACAGTTGAGGCTCAAATTTAATCTGCAGTCTGTGAGTCATGAGGTAAAGATCACAAAGGCTTCAACAATTACTTCTGTAAAATTAAAAATCAGTACCAAAAGTAAAATCGAGTACGCAGGATGCACATGGATCTCGATTGATTCAATCAACATGAATTAAATCAAGGAGAAACTTGGTCTAATAATATTCTTATTGAATTTTCCCTTTTAAAAAAACGCGATATTTTATGCTGAAAACGACTGAACAACGACCTGAAAAGTGTGATTTGTAGATTAAAGCATAGACAACCAACAATACCAAGAACGACAATACAATAAAACAATCAAAAGATCCATAGACCAACTGGGTTCCCAAAAAAAAAATAGTAATAGCAAAAAAGATGAATAACAGAATAAGTGAGGCAAAAGATCAAACTTAAGAAATAGAAAATTGGAAATTATTTATGTGTGTGACACCAATTTTTTTTACTAGTGGTTCATGTATTTTCTATTTTTGCAATTAAAAGTGGAGTCAAAGTCAAAGGTCAAAGGTCAAAAGACTTAATAGCTAGGTTGGAAATTGGGATTATAAAGTTCTTAAAATCAACCAATAAAAACAAAAGCAATAGAAAAAAGGGAGTTAGCTGCAACGACTATCAATCAAAGAAACCGCTACCCACGTTCACTCTCTACTTTATCTTCTTCACTGCTCTCTGCTCTCTGTTTCCGCGTTGTCTCCATTTTCCACAATTGCCCTCCACTTATTCAACAAAGCGCGTCTCGCAAGGGGCATATCCGTCATTGCATCCTTCTCTGCCCCTCTTCTTGGTTATTGTTCCCTCCTCTTAGCTTTGGTGCAAGGGATGAACTAAATTTCGCTGAAAAAATGTCAGAAAACGGGGAAGAGAAGTTACTGGCTGTGGCGCGGCACATAGCGAAAACGCTGGGGCACAACAACACCATGTCTGATGACATATTCCAAATACTCTCCAACTTCGACGGAAGGTTCTCGAGAGAGAATCTTTCCGAAAAGGGCGCAGAGGCAGATTCCAGGGCCTGCGCCGCACTCGATCACTCCCTCAAAACCCTAGACCGCCGGATCTCTAACTACGTCTCCTCCGACCGCCCAATCTGGGCCGACGCCGCGGACTCCGCTGCCTTTCTCGACGCCGTGGACGAGCTCGTCGCCGCCGTCGCCGAGTGGAACCACCTCGCCTCCGACAAGGCCGTCGCCGCGTGCCTCGTCCGCGCCGAGGACATGCTCCAGCACGCCATGTTCCGCCTCGAGGACGAGTTCCGCTCGCTCATGGAGCGCGGCGGCGAGTCCTTCGGCCTCACGCGCGACCCCCGCCACGGCGAGTCCGCGGAGAATTTGCCGTTCGACTCGGAGGACGACGACGACGATGAAGAAGCTAGGAACGGCGACGATGAGCAGATTCCGGTGGCGCTGCCGGTCACGGACTTCGACATCATCATTGACGCGCTGCCGGCGGGGACGATCAACGACCTCCACGAGATCGCGAAGCGAATGGTGGCCGGCGGGTTCGGGAAGGAGTGCTCGCACGTGTACAGCAGTTGCCGGAGGGAGTTCTTGGAGGAAAGCATCTCGAGGTTAGGGTTACAGAAGCTGAGCATCGAGGAAGTTCACAAGATGACGTGGCCGGACCTCGAGGACGAGATTGAGAAGTGGATCAAAGCCTCCAACGTCGCTCTCAAAATCCTCTTCCCCAGCGAGCGTAGACTCTGTGACCGCGTCTTCTTCGGATTCGCCTCCGCCGCGGATTTCTCGTTCATGGAGGTTTGCCGCGGATCCGCCATTCAGTTGCTGAATTTTGCCGACGCCGTCGCCATCGGGAGCCGTTCGCCGGAGCGGTTATTCAGAATCCTCGACGTGTTCGAGACGCTGCGTGACCTAATTCCGGAGTTTGATGCTCTGTTTTCTGATCAGTTCAGTGTGTCGCTCAGGAATGAAGCGGTTACTATTTGGAAGAGATTGGGCGAAGCGATTAGGGGCATTTTTATGGAGCTGGAGAATTTGATTCGCCGGGATCCGGCGAAGATGGCGGTTCCCGGCGGCGGTCTTCATCCGATTACTCGCTACGTGATGAACTACCTCCGTGCGGCTTGCCGGTCGCGGCAGAGCTTGGAGCAAGTTTTTGAAGATTATGGATTAAAAGACTATCCCAAGCTTGATGATAGGTTGCCCAATTCATCTTCTCTGTCAGTGCAAATGGATTGGATTATGGAGCTGTTAGAGAGCAATTTGGAAGCTAAGTCCAAGATTTACAAGGACCCTGCATTGTGTTATGTTTTCTTGATGAACAATGGCAGGTACATTGTTCAGAAGACCAAGGACAGTGAATTGGGAACCCTCTTGGGGGATGATTGGATCCGAAAACACGCTGCAAAAGTTCGACAATTCCATGTGCATTATCAAAGAAGCTCGTGGAATAAGGTTCTGGGGATTCTGAAGCTGGATAGTAATGGCTCGTTGCCTCCTAATGGTTTAGCAAAAGCAATGAAGGAGAAGCTCAAGTCGTTTAACGCGGCGTTTGAGGAGATTTGTAGGGATCAGTCTTCATGGTTTGTCTTTGATGAGCAGCTTAGGGAAGAAATAAGAATTTCCCTTGAGAAGATCTTGTTGCCTGCTTATGGAAACTTCATTGCGAGGTTTCAGGGTGTTCCGGAGCTTGGGAAGCATGCTGATAAGTATATCAAGTTTGGAACGGAGGACATTCAATCAAGACTCAATGATTTGTTTCAGGGAAGCAGTGGATCAACTGGTAGCCGAAAGTGAAGGTGAAACTGCCACTAGTTTTTCGTGTGTATTATTTGTAGTGTAATTAAAATACAGTGTTTTGATTATCACAAATGTAGTCGATAAGGATTTGTAGTTTGTATTATAAAATACTACTACTGTATGTTATTCTGTTTAGCATCATTGTGGAGATGATTGGGAAAGATTTTGAAGTTAAGAGCCGATTGAGAAGTTAACGATTTTGGTGTAACATTAAGGTGGTTCTTACTAGTCAATAGTCATTTGCTTTCATCAAGTATTCTTCTGTGCAGTGAGTGCGAATATAATGTGTTTACTGAATCAAACTATCGTATTTGCTCGTTCAGGTCCAAGTGGATTATGGGCTGCTGTACTGATTAATTCAAGCGGATTATGGAGTGTAACATTATTCCCTCCTTCCCATCCTCGCAATATTATCTCTTTTTCTCTTTTCCAAATATAATACTGAAGTGAGAACAGAGAACCCATAGTTGATTTCCAATACTTGCTTTCTGTGGTGTTCAGTATTTCTTAACATGCTCAGACCTAAAACTCCCTCATTGGAGACAAGTGTTCTGAAAATTTTGAAAATGTAATATTGAAAATGTTCTGAAAATTGGAGACAAAATGGATCACACCTAAAACTTTTTCATTACCTGAATCGTGGTTAGCCAATAGCCCTAACAGTTTGAAGCATTTATTTACAGATTAGCAAAAACAAAATATCGATTTAGGCAACCACTTGCCAATTATGGTTTTAGAGATATCTAGGAATGTTTTGCTGAACTAGATTTTTATTTTTTAACCTGCGGCTTATCATGTACAAAATAATTTTGTTAAAAGGCGAGAAACAAATATAATAACTAAATTTAATATTAAAATAATAATTTAAGAGTAAACATAATATCCGAGAATTCTGTAAAGAAAAATATGTAGATAAGTGGGGCGATGGTTATTGGTTTCCCGGCTTTGCTGTCAATTGTGACAGATGATCTCTCACCCTCCAAAGATAATCTTGGCAGTCTTGTATGGTTGGAACCGAAATCATAGAATGATCATTTGCGAATTTGATCCCTGGTGGTGGTGAGAATTCTTATAAGTATATAGTTATATATGTTGAGGATATTCATCCCATGATCCAGAAACCTTAGGAGTAGGGGTGTTGATGGATAGGTTTTTTGAAAAAACCGATCCAAACCGAACCGAACCGTTTTATAAAAGTGGATCGGTTAACCGATCCATTTTTTATAAAGTGGATCGGTTTGGTTTTCTTAAAATATGGATCGGTTTTTTTAAAATTGGATCGGTTAGGTGCGGTGCAATTATCCACTTTTTACTCATATATGGATCGGTTTTTTTAAAAAACCAAACCGAACTGAACCGATCCACTTTGTAAAAATGGATCGGATAACTAAACCGGTTTTATAAAGTGGTTCGGTTCGGATTTTTTTCCAAAATGGATCGGATTTTTCAATATGGATCGGATCGGTTATGAATCGGTTCGGATCAATTTGGATTTTTTGCACACCCCTACTTAGGAGGTCCAAATCCGGCTCATTCACACTGAGCCTAATCACTGTGTTGATGCTATGGGAATTTAGTTCCTTCGCTCATTTGATTTTGCATCTCTGTATGTACTTCTTTCTAACGCACAATTAAGTTATTCTATGCACTTCACTGTTTGAATTATAGACTTATAGTTCCACGGCACCCCAATAACTATAATAAAAGTCTAAGCTACGTACCTCAAAATAAATCGTAGTAGATTGTTATTTTGTTGAACCGAACACAATTTAATAATTTAAAAAAAAAATAAAATCTAATTTAATTTTAGTATCACACTCAAAGTGAAAATTGATATAATTATGAAGCTTGATAGTGTGCGTACTTTGTATTTTTTTAAATGCTAAATGTGTGTATACTAAAATTTAACTTCGGCAAAGTTATGCGTGATTTGTATAAATTTATGGATTGTAGGACAAAATTAAACAATAGGAAAAGAAAAAGCATAGCGTGTATGAAGGGCGTGAAAACAAAATAAAATAGCCTTTTTCTTATTTTTTGGAACAAAACAACATAACTAGATTTAATTAATTTATTAAATATTTAATTCATAATTATATTTTGTTATATGGAACTTTCCGTGTGGGTCAGTTGCTCTAGACTTTTGGAGCATTTCCTCCAAATTTCATTCGGGTGATTACCTTGAAATTTCATTAAGTCGTTGCTCATACAAGTGAAAGAGAAATACTAGTCTGAAAAGAACAGGTCATCTTAAGCATAGAATGGTTGCTCTTTGTATCTGATATTTGCATCCTTTATTGCAGCCCTATTTTCTGCCCCCTCCATATCCAATTTGATATATCTCTCTATCTGTTTAACCAATTCCTATATCAGCCAAAACATGAGGCTTTTGCTCAGTCAAATCACTAGGTGGCTGACGCAGGTAGCTGTATGGAGATTTGTGGGTTTTGTTTCAACCTTTGTTGGACTTCTTTGTTATGCTCTCAGTTCCTCCTTCAACCATCTATTCGGAGAGTGGAACATGTTGAAGATATTTCTTTACACTGTTTTTGGTCTCTTCATCTGCCTTTGGAGTCTGTTTGCAAAGGTATGTCAACGCTCAACTAGTCTCCGATTCAAAGCTCATTCGGCATTTTTGGTTTTGACCATCACATCCGTGTATTCCTATTTTGCTGATAAAGTTGTGAATGGAAAACCAGATGCGTATAGCTTGATTTCGTGTGTTGCCTTTGCTATTATGTCATTCAGCTTGTCTAGGCAAACTCAGTGCGGATTTGAAGTGGATCTTTTTTATTTTTTCTTGGGGTGTCTAATAGTACTACTCATGAAGATTAATTTGGCATTAGCTATTGTTGGAGTAGGTTTCAGCTATTCCCTTATTATTCTTCGTTACTCCTTAAATACCACATCGCACGATAATCTTGCAGTCCAAGATGATCATTCAGATTTAGTAGTGATAGATGTGAATTCGCTAAGTACTGATAATGCTAGCAACAGTATGATGCAACAACTTATGGCTTGTATGAAGTCTTTTCAGAAGGACAATTTGAATCTCATCAGCATGCTTTTGGAGCGTACGAAGGAATACCTTGAAGATGAATCTAAAGATTCTGAACTTACAGGTATGGACCATAACTTTGTGATGGATGCACTACCATCAGAAAAAATCAAGGACCTTGAAGAAACTATAATGCTGATGGTGAGCAATGGGTTTGAGAAAGAGTGCTGTGACGAGTACTGTAATTGGCGGAGGGAAAGCTTAGAGGAGTGCTTAACAAGTTTATTTGGGTTGCAAGAGATCAACATTGAACAGGAACATGAAGGGAAGAAGTTAGAAGAGTTCGTTATTGGAAGATGGATTAAAGTTGTGAAGGTGGCTTTTAGGATACTATTTCCCAGTGAGCGACGACTCAGTGATCGCATCTTCGTAGGGTTCTCTTCTGTCGCTGATCTTTGTTTTACTGAGGTTTGTCGAGGAGCCGTGATTCAGTTGTTGAATTTGGCTGATGCGGTTGCGAGTGGGAGCCCTTCAGAGTGGCGTTTGAACAAAATCACTGACATGTTTGAGACATTGTGTGACCTAACTCCCGAGTTACAATCACTGTTTCCAGAGTCATTGGTAAAGGAAGTGATGACAGTCAACGACAAATTAGGAGAAGCAAGCAGGGATATTCTCATGAAAATGGAAAATAAATTTTTCCGTAACTCAGAGGCAAAGGTAATTGCTCCTACAGATGGTTGGGTTTATCCATTGACCATATATGTCATGGACTCAATCGCTTTTCTACATCGCAAAAGACAGATTTTGGAGCAAATTTTAGTACAATATCCTAAGTTGACTACTGGAGCAGGAACATCTTCAGTTTCTTATCAAATTGATCGAATAATGAAGCGGTTCGAGAAAAAACTGGAGGCGATGTCCCAAAGCTACAAGGACCCTGCTTTACGCTACTTTACCATGATGAATAATTGGACATGGATTGAACTTTATGCAAAAAATTCGGGATTTGATCTTGATTGTTTCCGAAAGAGCACAAAAATAATTAAAAAAAATCGTGAACTTTATCTAAGCTCTTGGGATATGGTGCTAGAGTTTTTGAAGCTAGAGAAAAATGAAATAGTTGAGCCCAATGCTAACGTAGAGTCACTGAAAGACAAGCTAAAATTGTTCAACAAGCACTTTAGTAATACATGTGCCACTCAATCTAAATGGGTTTCCTTTGATAAGCAGCTAAGGGAACAAATAATAATATCATTGCAAAACATTTTGTTGCCGCCATATGGAAACTTCATTGGGAGATTTCATGATATTCTCGGTAACCATGCTTATGAGTATATTAAATATGGAATGTTTGATATTCAAGACCAACTCAATCATTTGTTTCGTGGAAGCACGCCAATGAAACAGTATTTCGAAGCAAAGCCAAGGGAAAGACTATTACAGCATGTATAAACTAACTTATAAACTTTTTATTGTCATATAAGTAGTTCAATAAATTTATGGTTTTTAATATACTCTTTTGTTTCTTGTTTCTTTAATTTCTAGATTGGCCGCCGGCTCATGTCAATATTCAAGTTGCAATTGGAAATATACATCGGTTTTATTTGTAGAAAAATAAAGTTTAACCATTAATTTAATTCTCAAGTGGTGACTGCATATTGGTCCAAAAAGATGGGGAAAAAATAGTCCTTAATTGTTGCATCTATTATTTACGTTAGTCCATAAGTAGATGAACATTATTTAACATTGTTGGTTTGGCTGACGTGCTACATTATCATTCACTAGTTTTTCATGTGTATATCATGTCATTTGGGCCAAATTATAGTGTTTTGGTCCTTTTGGAGATATGGACTAAAATAAAGGGTTTGAAAAAATTTATTGGGATCAAATAGAAATATATGAAGAAAAGTTCATTTCACTTTTTCTCTCTCTTTTTCACATCAAGAATCATGATTTTTGAGAATTACAAATCTTATAAATCATGATTCTTGAAAATGACTAAAATTTATTTGTGAATCATGATTCTTGAAAATGATTAAAATCTGTTTAGTTACTTATAAAAATTCTTGGAAATATCAACATATATTTCTGTTGGGGGTATTTTATGGTAGTTGTTTGATGGGATATTTTATGAGGGTTATTTTTATAAGGTTATTACACAAACATACTCCATAATGATGAGATATTGTCCGCTTTGGACTAAGCTTTCACGGTTTTATTTTTGTTCATTATCCAAAAGGCTTCTCTGACATTGGAGTATGTGTGTGCTTTATAAGTTATTATTTTATCGATGTCACAATGTGAGATTTGTTTGTATTCCAACAATTTCTTGTGAAATAAAGATTTTCATGTTTGGTTACAATATTATTTTTTTGGCTATATAAATTTTTTACAAAATTATTCTTTACAAAAAAAATTGAGTTTCTTCTTCCTTATAAGACATAACCGTGTTATAATCTAACATAAAAAAAACATATTTAGCTTAAAATAACAAATCAATAATTTGCATATGATTAAACTATACACAAAATCACAATAAATCAAAATGTAAAATATAGTTTTCATGAATAATAAAAGAAAAACATTAAATTAACAATCAAAATAACTTAAATTTAAAATATAAGTAAGTTAAAAAAATGTTATTTTGCTTAAATAATCTATTAAATTTAGAGGCTAAAAATTGTAATAAGAAATTAATAATGTAGTTTTATAATTTATACATTTTGCATAACTATAGAATATCATATATTATGAAAATTATATAATTATTCATTTTTTATTATTAGATTGATGAGAAAAGTGATAAAAAAATAGTAATTCCTGCACCGATTTTTTTTCTTAAAAAAATATAATTTAAAGTAATAAATAAAGTAATATGTCTAATGAATTATTTAATTTAATTTATATTTTAACTAGTTAATAAAATTTATATTATAAAAAATATTGAATTTTATAAGAAATACATTATAATTTTATATTTTATAATTTCAAGTATATTAATAATAGGACAAAAAATTGTAAAAAAAAATAGACATTAACAACATTCAACATATAATATTAAATAATATCAAAATTATTATATAAAATATTAATAAATAGTATTAAATTAACACTAATTATCATAATTCATAACTAATATATACAAATTTTAATAAATGTATAAATATATAATCGCATAAGTTAACATTTAAAAACTTAAAATAAAAAATATATTAGGTAGACTAACTTCAACTCACCATAAATTGACTAGTGGTAGATTAAACAATTTTTTCTCATAATTCAAGGCTCAAAATTTTTTAACTCAATCCAACTCAAATTTATAATGGATCAAGTTAATTTATAGGTTCTAACTCATTTTAACGAATCTATATAAAAGACATTTAGCTCTGTTATCACTATGGAAATTGTTATAAAGGAAAGGGTGATGAACAAGGTTTTTTTTAATACACCATCACTGTAGCTTCTTAACGTGCAAGGTATAGTTTTTGATTAGTCCTTGAATGGAATTTTTTTTTTCTTAAGAAAAGGAGTGCCTTCCATCATTAAAGTGACTAGAACGACTCTTTAATGATTTATGCTGAGGACTAAATTTAATTATAATGATTATTTTTGTATTACAAAATCGTCGGATCAATGTGAATTAATTGATTAACTACATGGATTAAATTGAATGCTAAGGAATAACTTTAGGGACTAGCGAATAATGAACAAAGAAGGATACAAAGAGTGAGATTTGTCTCATCAGACTTCAGAGACTTGTGTATTTAGAATTTCGTACAGGTACAATTTTTTTCTTCTTCTTAGGCCTTTCACATTCTCTTTTTTAGTCACCACACTTTGGTTTTTGATAGTGGAGATATTTGGTACAAGCATTGATAACAAGGAAACAGATAATAGGATGGATTATAGGATGAGAGTTAGACAAATAAGTGTCATTGATGGAAGTAATGAAAGAAGAATATACATACATATATATATATATGTGTGTAGAGAGAGAGAAAAATAATGAATATATTGATCTTAATTTTCTCAAACACTTCAGTTTAATCTTTGTCAATTTAAAATATCAAATACCTACAATACTTTAATTTCAACCTTGTTAATATGACGTTCACATAAATATACAATGGATAATAATATGGCACTTAATATGTCATGTTAACCAAATTAACAAAGTTAGATAACATTTATTCACCTAAGGATTAATGTGAATGACAGATGTAATATTTATAGATTTTTTTATTTTTTATTTTTGAGGGACTAATATTTCCTGCCATACATTTTCAAAGACTAAATTGATGGTTTGAACAAGAAACAATTATAAAAATAAAAAACAAAAAACGGCTATGTTGCGATAATTTTCTTTCAATTTTCAAAGTTGGTTTTTATCTCGAGACTCCTCCCTTTTGCATCATTACATTTTTTAATTCAATCCAAAAGTTGCTATCATTTAAAAATTAAGTAATTTAAAGATCGTTGTTTACATCCATCGTGGTAAGTTTCTTTCTAAGTAACGAAAGATGACGATACCATTTAAAATTTTTCGCAACAATACATCTTTCAAGGGGTTTCTTGTTTAAAGTTCTTTGTACTCGATTGTAATTTTTTGATAAAGGTGTAATCGAAAAATCGAGCTATTTAGTCTGGTTTCGTGTGCTACTGAGACTAATTTAGGTATTTATATTTGATGTGTTGCAGTCTTTCCTAGAATAATGTTAATATTAATTAGCGGTATATTAGTATTTGATTAGAATCATTCCTACAATAATGGTAGTTCCTCTGTCTTGAATGTAAGATTTTTTTTTTCATATTTGTTAAGCTTAAATATAAGTTAATTTTAACAAATATCATTTTATTTAATATTATCATATTTAAAATATCTCTTTATTTAATTAAAGTTATTTATGATGTTTTTTTTATTCTTGTTATCAAATCTTAATGATAGTTTATGGATTGTAAGACAAAATTAAACAATTGGGTTTATACCTCTCTTCATACCGACTGACCGCCTTTTGTGAATAAGAAAGTCATTAAGTCACAATCGGTTGTGAATTTTTTAATCAATTGTTGATAATCTAGTAATTATGAGAAATTTATATTCAAATTGCATGCATACGTAATGCCGTAATTGATTACGTAAAATCTTCAATTGATTAAGTGCCTGTTTGGATGCCGTTGTATCAGGATAACGCGTTTATTCGATGTCTTCTAAAAACGTGATTCTTCATTCTAGATGTATATTTGGATTTTTCTTTCTCACATGATTTTACGGATGAAAATTAATTTTGGCTAAAGCTTGAAGATTGCTTCTACGTGGAGGAAATTGATTTTGGCAAATCAATTCTCCAAACACGCATTAAATGATTTCAATTGTTTTTTTTTTTGAAAAAAAAAACATTCGCTCAAAAAAGTTGCTATGTACACACCGACGTTGTTATATATGATAAATATAACAATTTTCTTATTTTTATAAATTATAATTTACACATTAAGTTGATTTTTTTTATGACCAGATGATATTATAACAATTTTTTATACTATAAATATATTATAAAAGTTACTCTTTCAATTTATTGCTATATTACTCAATCGATTAAAAATAGATTATACATAGTAAATTTTAGAGAGATAAAATAGTATTTTTTTTTATTATAATTTTTTTTATCTATTTAAATTAAATAATTTTATAATATCATTTATTTTTTATTTTTTATTTATTTCTTCTCAATCAAAAAAATTAATTTTTACTTTATTTTTTTTATTTATTTATCCTTTCTTTATTTTTTTCATCCTATTTCTCTTTTCACAACTAAATAGAGTGATTGACTTACAAAGAATGAACTAGCCAATTCGAAACATAAGTTTGTGATTAATGCATTATCTAAGAGCAAAGTCAAAACTTTATTTTGAAGAGGGCTAAATTTTTGTTTTTTAACACTTATATTAACATATTCTAACATCATAAATAATTTATTATTATTTATACTTCTTTTTATCTCTCTTTCTAACACATTATATATCAATCCTACATATATTTATTTCCTTTTCTTTTCGTAAGTGTAAACCAATATAATAATTTTTGTTGTAACATTGGGTAGATTGTGAAGATCTGTGGTAGATGTTCAATTGATCCTAAGAGGAAAGACATAAGATTTCTGCTTTGGACATAGCTCATAATTTCTTATTATTCAGAAACCTTAGAGAGAGAGATCAAGAGAAAGAAGCTTTGATTCTTCTTCCTTTCTTCTTTTTAGGTCCTTCTGGAGTGCGAGATTTGTAGCGGAGAGTGTCAGATTTGAAGCTTACTCTAAGAATTAGAGGGTTAAGGTCGTGTGAAGCTTGGAAGCTTGGGGTTCTCCTTTCTCGTTTATCTCAGAATCGAGGTAAGGAAAGTTAGAATCTTAGGTTTTTGTTGAAATGTTGGGTTGTTGAATGAATTAAGAACTTAAAGTTGGTAGAATTTATGAAAATCTATGGGTGTGGGGATGGATTCGAAGTGGGTTGCATGTTGAAACTGAGGTTTTGATGTTTTTGATGAAAGGTTAAAATATTGATGATTTCTTTGAGTTTTGGTTAATGCATGTTGCTTTTCTTGTGATTTCTGAGTTGTATAAATGAATTTAGTAGAGATAATGAGTTGTAGATGATGTTTAGGAGGAAAATTGGTGAAGTGCAAGGAAAGATCGAAAGGAAAACCATGAAAATGTAGAAAAATTTTACACCCAACGCCGTAACCGTGGGAAAAAATGGGACGGCCAAGACTCAACGTCGTAGCTAGAGTTGAGCGTCGCAACTGTGAGGAAAATTGGGATGATCGAGAACCAGTGCTGCAACCACAATTGAGCACTGCAACCGTGGAGAAAATTGGGCTAGCCAAGACCCAACATTGAAGCGTTGCAATAGTGGAGATAAATGACCATATTTAGTCTTGAGATCTTCATAAAATTTGTAGCATTGGATCTTAACTTTTCAATGACTTTGGAATCACCTAAAAAGGAGGTATGAAAGTCCAATTATATATGACTTTTTTAGTTAGTAAAGGTCAAGATGTAAACATTTAGACAAACTGTTGTGGTTTTTACAATTTTCAACATGGTAAATGATGGAATTAGAACCTGAGTTTTACATGAAAGTTGTAGAAAATCTCCTTGCCTTTCATATGAGATAAGTTTGAGTATGATAGGAGTAGTAGAACTTCTTATGCGTTGTTTTATGGGAAGGTTGTCATTGCACGATAAGTGATTTTGATATGTTGTATGATGGATGAATTTGGTGAACATGAATAAAATACATGTGTCTATTGCATATTGTATGATGTAGGATGATGATAATAAGCACTGTATGCTATATTTGTGTAGTTGAAATGGTGATAAACATTGATATATTATGTATGTTTGATATGTTATTATTGAATGAATTGTTGAGCATTGATATGCTTTACTTGGATGAATTGTTAAGCATTGATATCTTATTCTTGGTTGAGGTGTTAAGTATTGGTATGCTATACATGATTGATGTTATTGATCTTTATATGCATTGATTGGATGTGATGTATATAGTAGATGTATGGTGAGGTATAGATGCTGATAATATAGTGTGACATTAAAGTATGATGGCTAACTTAGGATTTGAGAAAAAGGAAATTATCTTGAAAACTGAAGATCCCACATAGGATATCTTAGAATGATGCTCAGATAGACCACTGTTAAAAAACCCTCCTTCAATAGGTGTATCTCTTGGAGTGAATTTTGAGATGTGTTAAGTCTCTTCTAGGTCCTTAGTTAGTAATTGAGTAAGGTAGGAGGTCGATGGCTACAACCTTTAACCAAGTACCTAGAAATGTTGCATGGCTCCTTAAAGATAATTAGTGGGCGAATTTCATATGTGACTTGATAATGCATGTCAAGATCGTGGTAAGTCTATACCCAATTGTATTATTCTTGACAGTGGAACCAAACTTTCCTAGTGTAAGTAATAAGACTCGAGCAACCAAAGGAGGGATTGATATTCCATTTTATTGTGATCGAGCTGACACTTTGAGCATGAAAATGATTGTGTTGGTTTGGTAAGGTAAAAATCACTTAAACTACTCATGTTGTTAGGATATCTCCTTAGATGAATATATGACAACAGGATGATTAAATTGAGTTAATTGAACAAAATGTATGAATTATTGTAAACACTTGATAAAATTCCAAAAGTCAAATGACTATTAAATCGATAATAATATAGTTCAAGATTCAATGATTAGATTTTAAACAAACTAATAATATATAATTAAATAATAGTCATTAAAACTAACTATATAAAAATATATTATGTTATTAAAACAATAATTAAATCGAATGAAACACCAGTTTTATATTAAAATATCACAATGACAGTAATTTGTCCTCATCTTTACAGATTTTATCATAGAGCATTATTGATCAGCCACCTAGAACTCCTTGGGTACTGTAGGTTTCCACATTGATAGCATGTTGAGTTTTACACCTATGCTTAAAGCATTAGTATGTGCAGTGGGTATACTTGAGTCCACATAACAATACTATTTTACTGATTATTACATCATATTTAGATAGTTTACACCTTACATTATAAAGTTCCACGTCAGTGGTGTAGCATAATGAAGTGAAATTCTCATTCTATGTCTATTTCAAACGCATCCTTAATAAATTAACTAGAAACGCGGAGTACCAACTACTTTTGATTTTATTCTGTTGATTATATATACCATTGCAGTTGCACATTTTCAGTGAGAAGCTCGACCGTATATGTTATGTTTTAAGTGGCGTGGATCAGGTCTAAGTCAAAGTTGCAACACTAGAATGTAAGGAACTGTCACCAAATTAATCAAAGTTTTGACAGGCTACGGCACCTCCCATGGTCAAAGATTTTTTGAGACTCCGTAAAGACCAACGTATGGTTTTGACTACATTAACTGCATACTACGCATCAGTATCATTACCATTCCCATTTTCAGGAGTCTTCCACCACTAGCTTTGTAGCAACAATTTTCATACAATTTAGTAAGTTTCTTTCAATTTTAAAGCCCCTTTACCTCTTACAGCATTATATGCCAAACCAGATTCAACCCCCTTTAGAAATTAAGCACTATGCCTATCCGAAATTCCAATCGGCTATTGGTACAGAAAAAGCTATGGAAAATTGTGGGATTTATGTCAAGTCTGATTGGACTGATCTGTTACGCGTTGAGTTCCTCTTTCAACCATCTATTCGGAGAGTGGAACTTCTTGAAGATCATCCTTTACACCGGGGTAAGTTTCTCTATCAGCACCATGATGTTATTTTTGAAGAAATGGAAACGTTCCAAGAGTTCACTGCTGAAGGCTCATGTGGGTGTTCTGCTCTTGTTGCTCACTTCGTTGTACTCTTTTGTGTCTGATAAATCTGTGAATGGAAAACCAGACTTATTGAGTTTGCTTTCGTTTGGAGCCTTTGCTTTAATGTCTTTGTGCCTGTCACGCCAAATTGACCTTGGCTTTGAAGCAGATCTCCTCAATTTCTTCCTTGGATGTCTAACTGTTCAACTGATGAAGATCAATCTGATGCTTTCAATTGTTGCAGCCATCTTCTGCTATTGTTTCATAGTTCTTCGTTTCAAATTGGACTCTCAACCACAGATTGGAACACTAGGGGTGGAAGACCATGTAACCATAGAAATTGATGCTGCAAATGGAGGAGAAAGAGGAGCTGATCACAATCACAACAGAAGTGACTTCCAATCTAACCATAGCAATGGCCACCGACAAATTCAGTTGCTAAGTGACGAGTACAATTGGAAAAAATTTGAAGATAAAGTAGTGAAAGGGAATGAAAATCAGATAAGTTACTACAAATGCACACACCCCAATTGTTTTGTAAAGAAAAAAGTTGAGAAAACTAAAGATGGGGAAATTATTGAGATACACTACGAGGGTACCCACCCCCATACTAAGGCTAAGCATTCAATGAAACGGAACTCATCACATGAATATCTATATTCACTGTTACCGTCAGAGCGTGACACCACTTACTTGCCAGATCAATCATTTCCCTCCCAGGGTAGTGGACAATTGGATTATGATGTGCAGCACCGGAGTACTCAATATTCATATGAAATATAATTTAGTACTCTAATTGTAGATCTTATCACTTCTAGTGAAGTTAAATGTTAATAATACTTAACATGTTAGAAGTTCCCTTTCACTAATCATTAATGACACTCATTTTTTCGGAACTTCTTTTGAATACTTACTCAATATTGGATGACTTTGATGATTGCTTTGTCAAGGAAAATTTATGTAGAGCACAGTTCTACTGCAAGTGATTCATCGTTTATTCTACAACTCATGAAGTAATAACAAACTCAAAGGAGACTGATACCATTAAATTTGCTTCAAGCAATCAATCGACATGCAGAGTTTAGTCTATCAAGACAGCCTCATCAGGGAGCACATGAAGTTTATATGTAGACATCAATCTACATGGCTTGCATCTTTGGATCAGATAACTGGTGAGCAAAACTTAAAAATACCAATTGTTGACTGCAGTAAAATTATAACATATTTGAATACGAGGTTAGAAAAGTTTTTCAAAGTTTATCTACTTTAAACTCTGAAAAAACATTTCTGACTTATATTTCGAAACAAACTCTTAATTTAAAGACTTTTTAAGAGAGTCGGAATTGTGGAAAAAAGGTCTATGATTTATCACGAATAACATATAATGACGGTTGAATTTATTGATGAAATATTGAATGATGAAGATTTATTACTTGTAATCTCTATTATCATTTTTTTAGATGAAAATTTAGTTTTTAAGATTATTTATATATAATTTAAAAAATGCATATAGAATTTATTTTATTTTATAATTTTAAAAAATATATTAAAAATAATTAAGTAATAAATCAATTAATTATCAAAACTAATTTGAAGCAATTATTGTGAGATACAAACCGTAAGTCCACACCACACACTTTAGATCCATAAATGTGAGTCGAACTAAGATAAATGCACAAATTTACAAATTAATTAATTTTCTTTAATAATAATAAAAATGATTAATTAATTACTTGAAAATGTTTAGAAATGTTAAGATCTTAAATTCAGCTAACCAACACAACCTACTGGTGATAAAAGACTAGGAAACTTCAACGTGAGTGGTTGAACATTTCAAGCAAAATTTGAGTCAATTCTTAGATTAGAAATATTGTACATATAATATATTGTATTGTGCCTTTGTTGGGTTTCATGTTTGTTTTTATATTTGTGTAATTGGTAAGGGCTTGCAAATTAGTAGCACATTTTTAAATGTTAATTTTAGTTAGTTAGTTGGGTTCATGGGCCAAATTAGTTAAGTTAGTTATATGTATAAGTAGCAACTTTGACTCGTAGAAAAGAATTTTTATGAATTGAATGGATTGATATTTGTGTGGCTAATTAAGAGAATTAATTTCTCTTTGATTCTTGTGTAAAACTCTAAGTTTTATTAAATTATTTATATTCTTTGTATTGAATTCTTCACAACTTATTGATCTTTATCTCTCCAACTCAAAATACACACGATATGATATATTTTTCTCATGTTTTTTTTTTATCTCTCAACTATAAAATAGTTATTTTTGAAATGGAAGCTAAAAACTCTCATATTTCTCTTTTTCGTTGGACTACTTGGAGATTGGATGACAACTTCTCTTTCTCTCTTTATGTTGTTACTTGTTGAGGTGAGGGAGGTGAGGGAGGAAGGGGTGTTTAATTTCATAACTACTGCTTAATCAAAAGAATGAATTTGACTCTTAAATATATTTAGTGTAACACCCTAAGATTTCTAATTATATATATATATATATATATATATATATAT